GGGATATTATAACAATTGGAATAAAGTCAATGCTACCATGTAATTGTGAAAAGATATTGGGAAGAAAGGCAATAGGGCCGCCTCTCCTAAAACACGCAAACCAAGACAATTAGGACTCACAAGACAATACACTGACACACCAAATGAAGCAAATTGTTACCTGACAGAGGCACGGAGTAACATCAAGGCCCAATTTCCAGCTTATTGTCCTTCAAACATCTCTCCAAGTACACCAGATGTAACCTCAGAAACTGATATATTCCCGTCCGCTTTGGACTTCCAATGACGGTAAAAATTAGGTGAATACAAAAATCTAACAAATTCCCGCTTTAAATCTACATTTTATCTCTGTCTAACTGAAACTGTTATACTAACACGAAGAACAAAAACTCGCAGCACCGACGGACAATGTACATAAACAGCAACCAATACGCTTGAAGCTAACAATATAAACAAACGAAAAAGTATATCAAAAATTGAAGGAAAAAGGGAATACACATAAGGTAAAAATTAGGTCATAAAAAAAGGTAATAAAAAATTTAAAATAAAAATTATGATAAAAGTAACAGCAATAAGTGAAAACAATAGACAAAAATAATTTCTATACCCAAAAGAGCCAAAAATACAAAAAAATTTACATTTTTTTTTAACAAAAAATTAATCGCAGTAATATGCAAAAAAATGTTAAATTCGGAAAACAATTACGACATTCCTCGTACAATTAGAAGAAAATAAAAATAATTTACTGACAAATCTGTAATACTTATGTTGTTTTAATGTGCCTTTTAAGGAGGAGGTAATCTGAGAACTCAAACCTCGTTACCGGATCGTCCTACCCTTACCTAGTGACTGCGGCTCCCCTCCTTCTGGAATATTGTATTTTCCCTATCCATCTTGTCACCTTTAATAAAGATGTCCAAAGCCAATCATCCGGGCTTGTCTAGGAACGCTAGAAATAGGGAAGCGGAGACAGAGGAGTCTCGCTCCACAAATCAGCAAGTGAAATAAAATAAAAAATGCATATAAAAGAGTTATTTTAAATAAATGAAAAAGCTTAGTATTACTATTGTCTAGTTACAAAAAGTAAGAAAAAAGGCTTATTTCTATAAAGCAAAGTAGAACGTTATTAAACAAGACAACATAGACTTCTGGGGATGAAGGAGGCACAGCGAAGGCAACACCTCCAAATGAAACTTAAAAAGGAAAAGAAGGGAGCAGAGGATACAAATGGACGTGTACGCATACCTGAGAAGGGTCCAGGCAAATTCTAAAA